CTTTCGAAGAATAGCGTCCAGAACTCGAAGGTTCTAAGTTACCGATCTAGGTTAGCTCGGATTATAAGAACCTTATCTACTTTCTTAAGAGCAAAATCCTTAGCCGTAGGCAGGTACGCTAGAGTAAGTTTCTTTCCCGGTTTAACTTCGTTATTTAGTATACGCCCGGCAAAGCAAACTTATAGGCCGACGTACTTACGAGGCGTAACGGAGACTCGCCTTTAGATCGAGGTCTGTAGCGTAAAGAACAGTCTATCCTTAAGGAGTATAACCTTAGCTAGGAACTATACGAGCTCCTTAGAGACGACTTTACCGGCCTAGAGCCTCTCGTAGCATCCTTTATACTAATAGCCGCTCCCGCCTTTCTCGGAGACGACGATAGCTCGGACGACGAAGATACGAGTTTAGAAAGCTTAGACAGCGACTAGGAAAGCGAAGAGGAAGTATAGGACCTCCTCGAACCTACCTAGCTCGAATAGTAGCTTACGATAGTATACGCCGAAGACGCTTTTACTAAAGGTCTAATTTAAGCTTTATAGAACGAGGAGCGGTTATACGAGAACGTTTCTCTCTTAGAGTACGAGCTCTATAGAACTCTACCGCGAGTACCCCGTATAACATTTAGAAATGCCCTCTACGTCCCGGACTTCGAAGATTTACGCGACTAGATTATGCGTTCCGCTTACAACCCTCTCGGAATAGCATATCCCGGTCGAGCTAAGATATTATCTTAGCTCCGGAAGTAGTACTACTAGCCTAATCTATACCGAGATATCGACCGATTCGTTAAGAACTGCGTAGTATGCCGTAGGGCGAAAGCAGACACGCGCAAGCCGTAAGGGCTACTAAAACCTCTTAAAGTCCCTCTACGACTATAGTAACACATTTTAATAGATTTTATTATAGGCCTACCGAAAGGATCCGATTTTAACGGCCTCTAGTTTTAAAACATACTAGTCGTAGTTTGCCGCCTTACGAAACGTAAGAAGGTATTAAATGCCCGTAGCCTAACCGTAAAGAATACGGCTTAGGTCTTCTACCGGGACGTATAGAAAGATATAGGCCTACCTAAATCAATTGTATCTAATCGCGGCCCGAATTTCGTTGCCCGTTTCTAGAAGCGCCTCTACGAACGATTAAAAATTCAAGCGCGCCTTTTAACGGCTTACTACCCGCAGACCGACGGGCAAACCGAACGGGCTAACGCGTAGATCGAGCAAATTATTAGGTGCTTCTACAATTACTACTAAAACGACTAGCTAAGATTAACGCCTTCTATTAAATTTGCTATTAACAATTAGGAGTCGGCTATAACTTAGACTACGCCGTTCTACGCCTCTACTAGATTTTACCCCTAAACCGGTATAGAACTAACAGAGATCGAACTAGAGCCCCCGGTAAACGATCCGGAAAGAGACGCCGATACCTTCGCTCTTTAAATAGCCTAGACCTACTAAGAGCTCTAGGACGAGATAAGGTATACCTAAGAAGTGTACGAGCACTATACTAATTAGCGTAGACGCGCCGCGCTAGATTACTAGGTCGGAGATTACGTCTACCTCGACTTACGATATATTAGAACTAACCGACCTTCGAAAAAGCTCGACTAGAAAAATCTAGGACCCTTCCGGATTATAAAGAAAGTCGGTATATACGTATACGAACTAGATCTCCTAGAAAATCTCAATATTTACCCGGTTAAATACGTTATTAATCTAAGAACCGCCGGAGAAATCGCGGACCCCGAAGACATCCCGCCGATGCCGGAAGCTACCGAGGCTACCGATTAGGCCGAAGACGAGCCGGAATCTGCCTTAGGTACAGTACGGGCGATTATCGGATAGAGCTTTAGTAATACAAATTTCGGAAATCTCAATCCTCCTAGGCCGTAGGGAGAGGTATAATAGAAGGGGTACTCGGACGAGGATACGACCTAGGAACCTCTACGCTATATTATCTTCGCCCGCGAAGCAATCGAGGAATTCCTACGAGACTATACCGACTATACGATAATAGAAGGAGCTGTCCTAGAACATTTTCTCCGAGAAGCATACGAATAGAATTTAGATTAAGGTCTCCGACCCGAACTAGGATAAGAATACTAGCACCTATTATATACGGACCTCCTTTAGCGTCGTAGGAACTCCGCGTAAAACGAGGGGGAGGCTACTATTATAGTAGCTGCCTAGAAAGCACCGACAAGTCCTATAAGCTAGCCGCTATACTATAAAGTAATATCGGATTTGAGTTGCCTTAGTAGTAGGGGCCCCTAGCGAAGCAGGTCGCCTAGTTAGCCTAGTACGCCTAGTACGCCTAGTACGCCTAGTACGCCTAGTACGCCTAGTACGCCTAGTACGCCTAGTACGCCTAGTACGCCTAGTACGCCTAGGTCGCCTAGTTAGCTATATAACGTAATATCTTAGGGACTCCCGCGGAGGCTATATATAGCAGAACAATACGTTATATATTAATATACGAACGACGGGACTACACTAAACTACGCGTACGTATATACGGACGATAGCAAGCGAGATATATAGAGTCGTAGGACAGATCCGAGTAGTAGGAAGGAACCGGAAGGTAGGGAAGAGCTAGGAGAAATATATTTGCTTAAGAGCGGTTAAACGAGTTCGTATACGCGCGCTATGTAAGTTAGCTAGGAGACAATAGCGCTGCGAGATAGCGGATATACGTGCTTATACTTACGCGTCGGACGCGCTAGACGGCCGTAGGCGGATATAAGGAAGGG